ACGAAAGAAGGAAGAGGACATTGGGAAATCAAGCTTCTTGACCCCAGCTATTCCTATCCACAAGGACAGTTCCTTAACAGCCCCTAGACATGACCAACTGCAAAAGGTACTTCTTGTGCCAACAGACCTCACCCCTACCCAATGCAAATAAGCGCTTAGAAGTCACTTTGCTCTAGAAAAAATTTGCTGAAGAAGACAAAATAGAGGTGATAGGTCCCCTTTCTGAATCCTATATTTCTATGCCATCCCGCCAATCACTTATAGGGACAGATCAAGCCCATAAAAACCTCTAGACAGCAGACCCCATCACTCGGGACCCCTCCCCTTCGGGAGCTCTGATTCCTTTCTGTTACTCTAATAAATCCTGTACTTTGCTCTAACGCTTGTGTCTGTGGGTTTTGTTTTTCCAATTTGTGAGACACAGAATCTTGCTCCGTGTTACAGAATCACATAGATGCAGTCATCAACAGGACACACTAGCACACTTTTCATTCAAGTAAACCAGGAAGGGGAGATGACAGGAAAGGGAGGAGAGAGGCGGGCAGTCCTTCATCTGCTTCGAAGCCACACAGGGATCTGGGGAGATGGTTACCTAGGGAGCCACCATGAAGCACGTTCTGAAGAGGGAATTCCTCTTTACTTGGCAGCAGCCATGGAATCCCACATTTAATGAGAGCTCATTTAATTTAAAGAGCATACTCTTAATAGTTCTTTTAACCACAGACACTCAGTTGTAGGTTACAGACAGGCCTTTTGTCTTAGAAAGAAAGGACATTTTGAGGTCAGCTTGTTATGTGAATTTACTTGTCCCCTTCCCTAGGAGGCAAACAAACTGTGGACTAATGGATGGTATCCTTTCTGTACTCAGGACCCTGTATGGCAAGACTTGCAGCAGCCAAACTTTAATGCCAATTGCAGCAGAAACTTGAGCAAGAGCCATCAATACCAGGCTATTGCTTAGAAAATTGCTGGTACAAAGAAGTGGCAACATCCTATATGGGTACACATCACAGGACAGTCCTGGTGAAGTGTGTCTGAATCACATTTGTACAGAGGCTTTGAGATAAATGGGGAGTTTGGGGAGTTTTTTACTGGCCTCTTAAGAAATCTGTACACTGGGCTTGGGAAGCTGAGGCAGGAGAATTGCAAGTTTGAGGCCAGCCTCAGCAACTTAGTGAAGACTTAACCGACTTAGCCAGACACTTCTCAAAATAAAAAATAAAAAGTGGGCTGGGGATGTGGCTAAGTGGTTAAGTACCCTGGGTTCAATCCCTGGTACCAAAAAAAGAAATCCATACACAGTATATAACTTCAGAATTGGTCTTCTCCATTCATCATTTATAGAGGTCATAAACACACCCCAGAAGGGAGAGGGAAATAATCAGACATTTGTAGGAAGGGCAAGCACGCCCACCCCCAAGTCTTCCATCTCCACTGTGAGAAAATATATTCAAAAATATTAAGAAAAACTGACCTTATTTCAGACACTTCCAGAGATAAGGAGACTGAAGCAAAATCCAGTGAAAGCCTTCCCAAAGTTTTGCTGGAGAAAAACCAAAACCATTCATTAGTGGAAATAAGGTCAAATAACAAAGTGGTCTACGAGGAACAAGAAAGCCATTAACAGAAGATGGGGGGGGGCATTTATAGACATGCGTGGACTTGGTCTACAGGCGTGTCCTTCCAGACATTCCATCCCAGGGCAGGAACGACATGCAGAAGTACCGCCATCAACCCTCACCAGCGATGGGACATGAAGTTGCAGGTCCAGGGAACATAATGTAATATGGGCTCTGTCCACAGGATGAGGTATTAGTAGTTCTAGAAGAAATAGGGCTTGACTCGTACTAGCCAGGAGTTAGTCTACTGGATCATGTCAAACTGCTTATAAAAATAGGATATTTTTCTGGGTTTTGTGATGTTAGTGGAATTTGTCAACTTTCACAAATTGGTCATTAATTTATTTATTTGGGGTACCAGAGATTGAACTCAAGGGCACTCAACCACTGAGCAATGTCCCCAGCCCTATTTTGTATTTTATTTAGAGACAGGGTCTCACTGAGTTGCTTTTGTGGAGGCTGGCTTTGGACTCAAGATCCTCCTGTCTCAGCCTCCTGAGCCACTGGGATTACAGGTATGTGCCACCAGACCCAGGTAAAATTAGTAATTTATAATTCTTTCTTTTATTCAGTCTAAATATTCACTTTCATGTCTAATTTTGCATTCTTTTCTTAAAGAGGACCTCCAAAGTCAAAAGTGCTTCAGGCCACACAAAATTATATTTGCTCCTATATAAAAGTTGATTAGAGAATTCTCATTCTCATCCCTGTCCCCAACACCTCATTCCTCCCCAACAGTTGAGAATTCCCACTGTTTCCTTCTTCCTGTAATTCTTACAAAATTAAACAAATATGACTGGGCATGGTGGCGCATGCCTGTAATCCCAGTGACTAGGAAGGCTGAGGCAAGAGGATCCCAAGTCCAAAACCAGGCTCAGCAACTAAGCAAGGCCCTAAGGCAGCTTAGCAAAAACTTCTCTTTAAAAAAAAAAAAAAAGTGGCTCATGATATGGCTCAGTGGTTAAGCACCCCTGGGTTCACTCTCTAGTAACAATTAATTAATTAATTAATTAAAATAAACAAACATGAATAAACACATAAGTGTATTTTTACTTCAGAAGCATCATGCTTATACACATTATTTCTATGTTAAAAAATTATCAAATCAATCATTTTTAAAATTTGAGCTGGGCACAGTGGTGCATACCTCCCTACTTGGACACTTCCAGAGATAAGGAGACTGAAGCAAAATCCAGTGAAAGGTTAAGGCAGGGGGATAACAGGTTTGAGACCACCCACAACTAAATAAACAACCCTCCCGCCCCCCCCCCCCCCCAAAAATTGAAAGGATTGGGAATGTAGCTCAGTGGTAAAGCACTCTGCGATCAATCCCTAGTAGGAAATAATAGTAATAATAAAAATACAATTTGATTTCTTCTAAATTTTGAGTGATAATCATCAAAGGCTTTTTTCATTTCTAAGTTATAAAATTATGCCATGTTTTCCTTTAATACTTTAAGTCCTTTTATTCTGATACACATTGTGAAGTATGTATTCAGTTTTATCTACTTTCAAATGATTATTATCCAATTGTCCCAACACCCTTCATTCAAAGTTCACCCTCCTTCTCCAATAGGCTGAGATACTGTCTGAAACATACACTAATGTTCCTATGAACTTAGCTCCATTCCTGAACTTGCTATGCTGCTCCTTTGATACTATTGTCTATTCATGCATCAAACCACATGGTTTTAATATCTGGTAGGGCCAGATATTAAATAATATTTAATATCTTTAGGACCCTTGCAAATTATTAAACCAAAACTCCTTGTTCTCAATATTCCTCACCATGCTGTTCAGATTGTTATTTTGTCACACAAACTTTGGAATCTACCTGCTCAACCTTAGAAAGTAATTTAAAAAAAAAAATTAAAGATCAGCTGAGCAATCTGTCTCTCGTATGTGTTCAAATGAAAAGTTTTTCCCTGAGTATTTATGCCAACATAATAAAACCAAAAGTCAATATATCTTATTAACAGGAAATGGTTCTGATATATGTAGGAAAAAGGAATTGACAGAATTAATTCCAAAACTATCAAAGAAGAACTGATTTAACTGGTGATGAGGAAAGGTCAAACCCCTCCATTTTATTGCTGCGCAGGATGAAGAGGAAAGCATAGATTTGGAGTTATCCCCAAACTAGCACCAGTTGATTTAGGTGGTGATAACAGGGGAAATTCACTCACACTTTGCTGCCAGATAAATTAATAAACAAATACTTAAAAAGGCCTGTAATTGAGTCAGAGTTAGGTAATTAGGACCCTTGCAAATTATTAAACCAAAACTCCTTGCTCTTAAGGAATCATTTGATCCCCTCATCAGCGTTTGTGCACATTAGCAGCACTTGGGAAATACAGAAAATATCAGTTCTAGGGCTGGGGATATGGCTCAAGCGGTAGCGTGCTCGCCTGGCATGTGCGGGGGCGCTGGGTTCGATCCTCAGCACCACATAAAATTAAAATAAAAGACGTTGTGTCCACCGAAAACTGAAAAATAAAAAAAGAAAGAAAAAGAAAATATCAGTTCTAGACCCACCTCCGGGAATTTAATTTGCTGGGCTATTGAGCCCCAGACAGCTGCAGTTTTTGAAGGTGATTCCAATGTGCAGGCGAGGTTGGGAGCCCCACACCTATCTGACAGGTGTGTGGGTCTATTACCAGGGTGCTTCCTTTAGTACTAGGAAGAGTACCCTTCTCCACTCAAATTTGGAGTGGTGCATAGGCAGAAGCGCTGGGACCAACACCTGCTCTTAGCAGTCAGATTGCTGATTTCAGTGGCGTGCGGCTAAGAGCCTTTGCACATGTGTCTCTCCAGAGGCTGAACTGGTTAAAGGACTTTCACCTCTTTTTTGTTTTGGTGCTGAGGACTGGACCCAAGGGCAAGCACTGTGCCACTGAGCTACAGCCCTCATTTGACTGCTTTCCTCACTGTTGCATCCACAGATCCTAGAATAGAGCCTGACACGTGGTGGACAATAAACATCTTAGGAATGAGCCGCCTTATCCGATACTGACAGGACACTGGACGAATTCCCGGTGACCCTGCATCATCTTTAATCGTATCGTCAGACCACTGAGACGTGTTTCTTTTTCGGACTTCTTCTTTGGGAGGGCAGAGACCTCTTCACCTGCTTGGGTCGCAGTTGCAGCTTCGCTCCTAAGCACCTCTTCCACCAAGCGACTCCTTGGCCGAAGACCTTTCCTAATAAGGGAGCGTCCAGGATCACCCCGAGTCACGTGAGCTCCACGACCCGACCCTGGTACGCGCGTCCTGTTTTGCGCATGCGCACAGCTCTAGTGCCCGTTCCTTGGCGTGGCGCAGACTCAGATCCCTCGCTTCCGCCTGGCTCCGCTCAGTTCGTTTCTGGGGGCGGGACCAAGCCTGGCTGGGAGAAAAGGCGGGGCTGGGCCTCGCGCGTGCGCGGAAAGGAGTTACGGCGTGGCGGGGCTGGGTGGCCTGAGCGTTCGGAGACAAGATGCAGGTAATCGAGGCAGGTTGCCTGGGTCTGAAGGACAGGTCTCGTTTGTTGTGTTGTGTTTGCTCGGGCCGCGGGCGCCAGGCCTGAGAACCGCCGGGGCCGCAGGTTCGGCCGAGGCCCCTCGTGGCGAGGCCCCGCGCAGGCGCAGTGCGGGCGGGCGGGCGTGGTCCTGCCGGCTTCCCGGCAGCGGCGGTGCTTGCCCTGCTCCCCGGAGCGCTGTGTTCGGGGGCTGCTCCCTGCTTGAGGTCGGCCTCCTCCGGGCCTGTGAAGCGCTTGTCAGGCCTTGGTTGATCTGTTACTCCCGGTTCACTAAACTCCATGCATTAGCGCCCGAGCTGGAGAGGTGGGGCCCGGCTGGGAGGGGTGCCCAAGGTGCAAAGCACGTCCCCCAGCACCTCGCGCCGTGCAGGTGGGGTGTCACCCGTCGGGCTCCCTGGGTTCAGGTCTCAGCCGCAGTTTCTCCGCTCACTGTTAGCTTGTTTTTCCCGCCCGAGACAAGGTCTCGCCAAGTTGCTTAGAGCCTCACGGAAGTTGCTGAGGCTGGCGACCCTCCTGCCTCAGCCTCCCCAGCCCCTGTGATTGCAGGCGCGCGCCACCTTGCCCGGCCTCAGTGCTAATTTCTGAAAAGGAGTTAAATAAGAATCCCCTCGTTTTTGGTTTTATTTGGTAGCCAGAATTTGACAAAAACCCTGAAGGAAGTGAAGAAAACTTCATTGAAATGACTTTTTTTAGGGGGCGGAGAGGGTCACTGAGGGCTCGGAGGAGATGGTTATTTACAAATATAGCAAGTGGCACAAACCAGAAGCTCTTAAATGGTGAAGAGAAAGCTCTGGGGCGCCTCTGACCTCATTGGTATCTTCTGTGATTCAAGTTCCTGCTTGAAGATGTTACTACATCTTCAGGGGCATTCCCTGACCTGGACTGAAAGGATCCTATTCATTTTTCCCTTGATGACACGCAGGGGGGCCGGGGCCTGGTCGCCCTGGTGTCCAGGGCACTCCTTCAGTTCATATTCCAAACCAAGTTTGAGCTCCACTGGCCTTGTTCCTGCCAGACCGTGCAAACCTGAGCCTGGGCACTTGGGTTCTGGCTCTGAGTGCCCATCTGGCATTCAGTCCTGGTCAGTTTGCCTGACTGCCCAGCATGATAGTGCCTTTCTGGACACCATGCTGAGCAGTCAGGCTTCTGATGGTCAAGGGTCAAGTGAGTAGACATAGGTAAAGACCTGGAAGATTGCCCAGCGCTTAGTGGTGGATGAAAGTTGACTGTTAGGGGTACCCCAAGGTCTCAGCTCCTCTCAGGCTGGGCCTGTAGACAATTTGTCAGCCTAGCTGAGGCCTCCTTCTTCCCAGATGCAGCCACTTAAGGCTTTGAGGTGCTCGAATGTCATATCTCTTTGCTTTTGGGCCTTCATATGTGTTGGTCCCTCTGTCTGGAAAGTTATTTCCTAAGCCCGCCTCTCCCCTGCTTGGTTCGGACCACCCTCAGGTGATTGGTATATGTCAGTTTTTCTAGTGGGTCTCCTGTCCCTTTCTAGAATAGCAGCCTGTTCGTCCTCAAGGTAGCCACAGTTTGTTTTGAATATGCGGTTTGTGTATGTACCTGTGCCCCGTCTGTCTTATCCTCTCGACTCCTGTGTTCACCAGGCTTTCTTGATGCCTAATCCAGTAATTCACGTTAAGCAAGCACTTAAATATCTGTTGAATGAGTCATTCCAGGTCATTTATAAAAATATTGAACAGCAGCCAGGTCAGAGCCTGGGTTTTAATACGGATGCTGATGAGCACGTCATATCCTGAATTTTATTCCTAGACTGAGGATAAGGAGGAGGAACGGGCAGAAAAAAACAGAACAGGGTCTGTGGGTCTTTGACACTTTTCTCAGAAATAAGTCACAGAGTGATGTGGCTTGAATTCCTCCTGTCCTACCACTGTTCCCCTTTGGCTCTCTGTCCAGTGTGGCCCCTCCGCACTGAACTGGACACTTCTTATTCTTGGTGTTCTTTGCCCTGCTTTCCAGGACCCCAATGCAGACACTGAATGGAATGACATCTTACGCAAGAAGGGCATCCTGCCCTCCAAGGAAAGCCTGAAAGGCTTGGAGGAGGAGGCGGAGGAGGAAGCGCAGCGAATCCTCCAGCAGTCAGTGGGTGAGCTGGTCTTCTTGTTCTGTGTCTGCCAGGTTTGGGAACAAGTCCGGGAGCCTCCAGCCGCTGCAGTAGAAGGAGCCTCTGAGCAGCAGCCAGGAGACGGCTGGAATGCTGGCCCTCAGGGAAGTCATAGGTGTCCCAAGGCCACAGAGTTAGGGGACTTCAGAGCTGCCCTGCAGCCCCACAAGTCCTGGTCTGTGTTATGTGAACACATACTTTTTTGTCTATGATTCAATTTAATAATGTCATAGGAATTTCTTCAAAGAGTTTAGTGTTTGTATTCTTCTGAGGTTGTACACTTTATTGATCTTTGTGGTTTGGTTAAGAACATCAAAGTAAAACAGCTTAATCTGTTTAGAATGTTTGCAATATGTGGGGTCTGGGGGGGTTTTCTTAGTTGGAATCCCTTAGAGGACTGGTCCATATGCCCAGTCCCTACTGAGTCAGTCTCTGGTGAGGCCCGGGAATCTGCATGGTAAACTGGGTTAAAGGGTTTCTGATTCTTGCTAATGTGTGCGACACATCAATCACAGGGCCTAGTACTTCTGTGCCCAGCTGACATGCGAGAGCTAACTCAGAGAAGGATTTATTAGAAAGTGTCTAGCAAGTGCTTATTGAACGATCACTGTCTCACCTGCTGTCCTGGGCAGTGGGGATTTAGTGTTATCCTTCCTTGTGGAGCCTGCATTCTAGCGGCAGGGGAAGAGTAAATAATAAGGGAAGTCACACAGGGAAAGGGGCTAGGAGGGGCCGGGAGGGATAAGAGCAGTTCTAGAGAGGCTTCACTGGGAGGTGGCATTCATGTGGACCTGAAGGGGATGACGGAGACATCTGAGTAAAGTTCTAATGGTGAGGTGACATCCCCCAGCAGGTGGAAAGCTGTCTTGGCATGTGGGAGGAGGCCAGTGTGGAGAGGAGTAGACAGGGAGTTCAGAGTGACCACCAGGGGCCAAAGCATGGAGGACCTGGAGTCTTCTGTAGGAGCCTTGGCTTTTATGGCTGTGAGGTGGGAGGTCGTTGAAGGTCAGGACAGGGTGACAGCACTGCCCTCCTGCTGCCTTACTGAGTGTGGCCCGCAGGGAGGGAGCAAGACAGGAAGCAGAGAGGCTAAAACTACTGCCAAGTTCACGAGAGACGAACCGTTGGTTGGGACCAGCGAGGTGGCGGTGGAGGTGAGCAGCGGTCAGGTGTGGTGTGTCTTGAAGCAGGGCCACAGATTTGTGGTGTGAGGGACCCACAAGACGGGGGCAATGAGCAGCCTGGAGCATGGAGTTCTGCCAGCTGGGATGAGGAAGGCTTGGCGGGATTTCTATGAGACAAGTAGAGCTGTCATGCAGGCAGCTGGGTCTGTCTGTCCAGGTGGAGCCCCCCGGGCTAGAGGCCTGCCTTAGGCTACTTGTCAGCACACCATCATACTTAAAGCCACGCAACTAGGCGCAGTTGCCAAGAGTGAGCATAGGCAACGAAGAGAGGGTCCAAGACCTGAGCCTGGGAATTGTAATCACCCAAAGTGGGAGGGCCTTGGTCATGGTAGGAGAGACACCCTGGAAGCCAGAGGAGGGCAGTGGTGGCTTGGGCCCAATTGTTATCAAGAAATGGAGGTCATTGTGACCTTGATAAGAGTCAAGAAGGGGCAAGGGCACAGCCTGCTTTGACGTCAAGAAATAAGAGTGTTTATTACAATAAAAATAAGATGGATTTCATAGCAGCTGGTCACTAGGAAAGACGAGTGTCTGCCACTCTTAAGGAAAGACAAGGAGTACGGCAGGGGCACCCTCCACTCCAGGAAAGGTGCTCAGGGAGGACCCTGGTGTCTGCCCGGCTCCTTGGGTGATCTGACGACTCCGGGGACACTGGCTCCCCCAGCACACAGACTTGAGGGTCAGACCAGGTGGCCACAGGCACTGGCAGCTCTCTTTTGTTTTAGAAATGTGGGAGACGTTATTGCTGAGGGAGGGTAAGACGGGCAAGCCAGCAGATTCCAGCGAGATCTGTCCTTCACGGTGCCCGCCTCTCTCATTGCCAGTGACAGGCCCTCGCTGTGCTTGCTCTGTGGGCTGGGGGTCTTGTGCCGTTGTGCGCATGGCTTTAGGAGAAACGTGAGGAACGCCCAAACCACTGCCTGTTCATCTTTTAAATTTGCCACTTGTGCCTTTGTCACTCAATTCAGTGAAAACATACGAAGACATGACTCTGGAGGAGCTGGAGGAGAATGAAGATGAATTCAACGAGGAGGATGAGCGGGCCATTGAGATGTACAGGTTGGTGCCACCCAGAGGGATGTGTGGGGTTTTTTTGTTTGTTTTGCATGGTGAAAAAGTGGGTGCCCTCTGAAAAATTAATTTTCTAGCTGAGATAACATTTGGAAAAGACCATGATTAAACATCAGTGTCATTCATTCCAAGGAAGTGGTCCCAGACTGTTGGCATGAGGCACATCAGTGAGCCTGGACGACCCCAGGGAGGCCTCTGGAGAGACGGGGATGCGTGCATGTGCTCCTGGGTGCGTGTGTGTGCTCCTAGGACCTTTATTCTTTCTTCCAATGTGTAGGCAACAAAGACTGGCGGAGTTGAAAGCGACCCAGCTGAAGAACAAATTTGGAGAAGTTTTGGAGATCTCAGGCAAGGATTATGTTCAAGAAGTTACGAAAGCCGGTGAGGGCTTGTGGGTAGTCTTGCACCTTTACAAACAAGGGTGAGCTCATCTTCCACGTGGTCTACAAGCTATTGGTTGGAATTTATGTCTTGAACCTGTAGGAGGCTTAATATCAGATTTTGTGTTTTGTTTTTCACTAACATTGTGTTTTTGTTGCTGATTTGCCTAAAACTAGGTGCCTGATTCTCATTTTAAGGTTTCAAATTAATATTGTTAATATAAGTGCCTTTGTTAAAGTCGTGGAATGAAGACTTAATTTTTTTTATTAGAAATGATTCCTGGAGGGAAAGGAGATATACTAGGGAATGATATTGGCCAAATTATATTGTTATATTGTGTGCACGTGTGAGTACATAACAATAAATCCTGTTATTATGTACAACTATAATGACCACCAATAAAAAAAAAAGGGAAAAAAATGATTCCTAAGTTATTCATCCCTCTAGAGGAACGAATTTCAAAGTTCCACGTGTCTAATCACTCTTGTAGATGGCAAAGGTGGCCTTGACAGTAATAGTCTGTACTTAGGGATGCCCTGAGCCTCCAGTGTTTCTCGCCTGCCCAATCTTGTTCTTAAACTAGAGTTCAGTGCTTGTTGAGGAATTCTCTTAAAGCAGGATTGCATTCTGACCTGTTTCAAACATTCTAAATCTTCAGTGTTCTTGCAACCTTATAGAATGGTATAGCAATTATATAGCAATGGTATAGCATTATAGCAGTCTTTTACACTCAAGTCAGTTTTCTGAATTATTGTTGGGTCTTATTAAATTGGACTTTGGACTTTAAGATCTTCACCCTCCCTGAACTTATTAGAAAGTTTTTTAATACTGTGAATTCAAGCCAGATGTAGTGGCACATAACTGTAATCCCAGCAACTTGGGAGGCTGCGGAAGGAGGATCGTAATTTTGAGGCCAGCCTGAGCAATTTAGTAAGACCCTGTCTCAGAATAAAAAGTAAAAAGGGCTGGGGATGTAGCTCAGTGGTACAGTGACCCTGGGTTCAATCTGTATTACCAAAAGCAAACCAAACACAAAGGTGGGCTCATCCGGCTGGCAGCAGGCTGCTCCCAAAGCTACCGGAGGCCTCTGTCGGGGAGGAGGGGGCCTATGCTTTGCTCTGTGCACAGGCAGAATTACAGCTGCTTCTGTTTTCTCTTTCTGGGTTCTAGGATTCCTCTCTGTGCCCTGATAAATCAACACCTGAGTGGACTTGCCAGGAAGTTTCCTGATGTCAAATTTGTCAAAGCCATTTCAACCACCTGCATACCCAACTATCCTGATAGGAACCTGCCCACGGTGTTTGTTTACCGGGAAGGTGACATCAAAGCTCAGTTCATTGGTCCTCTGGTGTTTGGTGGCATGAACCTGACGAGAGATGGTAAGAGCTCTTGGAGGCGGGCAAGGGCGTGTTGTGGGGAGGCTGTTCTGCTGGAGGGAGTTCCTGGCTGCCCACTTGTCTTGTGAGGGCGGCCGTGGAGCTCTCCTTGCCTCTGTGGGTGACGGGAGTGTGGGCAGCTGGAACTAGAAAGAAGATGCGCAGTGGAGGGGGTGGACGGGATCCGTTGTGACAGCAGGTATGAGAACCAGTGCAGTCTCTGCAGTTGAGGGTTTAAGTTGTAGCTCAAGACCACAGCCTTTGTTTCTTATTTAATTCATACTTCTATATGTGTGTGTGTGTGTGTGTGTGTTTCTCTATAGAAATATTTTCACAGTTGAATATCTCAGTAGCTTTTAAATTTTAATTCTGCCTCTTAATCCTGGAAGGCATTGCTGTTCTTTTCCACCTATTGCACATGGAGTTATCAAAATATGTCCAGTTATACTTTACTAGTTCAGGAACATGTATTTAAACATGACTTTATATACTTTTCCACTGTGATATTTGAGTAGGAATAATTGCACAGACACATGTATAAGGTAGGCTACATTATTCAGTATTCAAAGACATACAGTATTTCAAACTGATAAATATCTAATGTTGTCCGTTTTCGATCTTACCACGAAGGGAGATAGGTGTATATCTTAGTCCCCTTTCTGTTGCTGTAACAAGACACCTGAGGCTGAGTGCTTTATAAAGGAAAGAGATTTATTTTGGCTCATGATTCTGAAGGCTGGGAAGGTCAAGAGCACGACACTAGCGTCTGCCTGGCTTCTGGTGGCAGTTTTGTGCCATGTCATGAGTGCAGAGAAGTGACAGGGAAGGAGCACATGTGTGAGAGTGAGGGAGAGGAGACTGGCTGCCTCAGGGGGAGGCACTTGGCCTGCTCTCTTGAGAACCGACCTGTTTGTGTGAAAACCAGTGCAGTCTCTAGAGAAGGACCTCGGGCCCCTTAAGGACCCCATCCCAGCACTGCCACGTGGGCACTGGATTTCAGCGTTAATTTTGGTGGCGGCGAAGCACACCCACACCTGGCCTGTACAGTCACAGCTGTGGTCTGTTTCTAGAAGAGTCTCGTTTGAGGACAAGCGAACTTAATGTGGAACAATGATTGTGTGTAAGTGAGCGGTGTTGAGCGCATACACAGATGTGTGCAGGTATGGACATAGAAATCATTCCCGAGTCCAGAATCAGAAGTCTTAAAGTTGTTCAAAGAAGTTTCTTGAATTTTCACAACTGTCCATCTTGTGGCAGATTTCACGTAAGCCGTGCATCACTCTGAACGGCACCGCTGTGTGCTGGGTCCCCAGAACCTACTCATCTTCCACCTTAAAGTCCACGCCTTCCTGGCATCTGCCTCCCTTCTCCACCCTGTACCCTTCTGCTCTATTTCGGGGCATGCTCTAAATTAACACAGCTTCAGTAACATTGGTGGTGCGGTTTGGGGGAGGCGTGCAATTGTGAAGAATCTCTGCATTGACCTGCCTCTTGGCCATGCTGTGGCTGGGAAGCTCCTGGGCCGTCCCTTCACCCCACCTGGCTTCTCAGATGCAGAACCCCTCACTCTTGGCTCAAAGGGCCTCACCCGGTGGAGTCTCACTGATGACGGGAGTGAAGTACGGGACCTGGGGCTGGGTGGTCTCTGATCTTTCCTTTCTGGTACTTTGGCGTCATTCCTAGGGTGTCGTCATACATTTATCCTCTGACCTTAGTAGATGGGATGCTAGACAAGGAGCTGAAACATTCTTGTTAACGAAAATCAGATTGAATGTTCAGATTGGCAGCTGCAGACCCGAGGAGCTCATTTCCTTTGAACATGCCCTGGTCTTCCCTGGGAGAGTGTCCTAGCTGGAAACCAGCCGTTAGAGGACAGGTTTAGCCTTTGTTCTTGGGTTTTCAGGCAGTTTCAAGTTTATGTCAGAACTCGTTTGAGCCCATATTCTAAAAAAGTGAAAAGTATTATTTTTTTCCTTAAATGTCTGATCCCCCTTCTTCTGAGCACCTTAAAAAGATGGCACTAAAATTGTCACCAAGTTTGATGGTTGTGTTTTCTGTTCGGAGTGAAGCCTGATGGCTTGGGTAAGGGGACCGAGTGCACGGGGCCTTACGCCATGTGCTTTTCTTCGTCCGCAGAGCTGGAGTGGAAACTGTCTGAGTCTGGAGCAGTCAAGACAGACCTGGAGGAAAACCCCAGGAAGCCTATCGAAGACACGCTGCTGTCCTCCGTGCGGTGCTCGGTCCCCATGAGGAAGGACAGTGACTCTGAGGGAGACTAAAGCCACAGCTGACATAATTTGCTGAACTTTCTTGATGTGACAAATCAACTGATTTTTTTTTTTTTTAAGAATAAAGAGCTGGGCCTGGGCCTGTGGCGCCAGGTCCTAGGGCGGGAGGGTGGCCTGAGCCAGGAGCTGGGGGAGGCTGGCGACCTGGGAGGCCCCTCGGAGGATGGAAGAAAGGAGAGGAGCAAGCAGGAAGGAGCCTTTGGTTTTAAGCCTTTTTTGATTATGTTTCCTATCTCGTACATTTTAGAATAATCAGTGCTGGGAATTCTATTCAATTTCTTGGAACTCTTTTTAAAAAAATTAATAGCACTTTCTTTATTAAAAAGCCAGGACTTGTTACTGGCATGGCAGAGATGTCTGTTCTCCCACTTGCATTTTAAGTAAGCCATAAATCTGTGTTCTCTATTTTTTGATGTGTAATTATACAAAAGGGATATGAGTTTTTTAAAAAATCGTGAATAAGTTATGGTGGAAAAACCACAAACTAAGTTTTATAGCTACATTATATATTTTATAAACTAGCAACAGTTATCAACATATGAATGATCTTTAGAGAAAAATCTTTGTTCTGTCCTGCCGAGAAGAAATAGATAATTCTTGCAAAACATTGTTTCATCAAAGCAATAACTGACAGGTTTAATTTACTGTCATTTCTTCAAGTGGTTTTTTTTTTTTTTTTCCTTAGTTAAAATAATGTTTACCTCAGACTGTTGAGATAGGGAATCTTGATTACTGTAAAAGGCCACATTAAATTCTTTTTTGGAAATAAAATTTAAGCAGTCACATAAATAAATTGTGTCTCAGTCAATCAATAAAAAACATCAAGATGTTTTATAAACCAGAACTTTATATCACTTCCTGTCAAATCGATATCGACAACAGAAAAATTAGGGGAAATATTCCCTCATATTTGTTTTGAATGCTACAGCACTTAATGCTGATTTCATATCTCAAAAATAAGAATTGGAGCACAGAGTTCTTTCAGATTAGATGATAAAATTACTTTTTGCTCTGATTCAAAGGATGACAAACAGCTGTGACCCAGTTTATTTGTCAGAAGTGCTTGGTACTCGTCTTTCTATGTTCATGAGACCAGCACGGCTGATAAGAACGTGCCCAGTGTCCCTTGAAAGGTGGCCATGAAATCTCAGTGGCAGGGTTGACGCGAGCTTGAGAGCTCTGGTGCTCCCACACCGTCTCTGGGTTGGTAGGAGCTGGCTGCTTAGATTTTCTGTTGGGAGCTGACAGTATATGGAGACGTGGAAGAAGAACAAAGGCGCTCCACTTGTGGGACAGCCCGTGTGCAGGCTTCCAAGGACAAGATGGCTGTGCTTGTTGTTAGGCAGCTTCCACAAGCATGGGGAGCCGCAGCTGGAGTCCACTGTGGATCCCAGGCAGAGCTAATTCTAAGTACCTCTTCACTTTCATCTAAATGAGCACTGCCCCATAGTCTCACTTCGGTGCCCAATAAAGCCTTCAGGTTGAGCACAAAGTAAGCTCAGGTGCCCTTGGCCTTGGCTAGTGAAGCCCTCTGTGCTCACACAGCATCTGGAACCCAGGTTGCTGTCAATCATGTCTGTACTTAATTTAGATAAAGAGCAGCATCTTTATCCTAAAATTGGGATTATAATTTTGAATCTGACCTGCAGTATCTATAGGTCAGCTAATTCTTGCATGATGTTTCCAGATAATGTAGTATTTACCATTATTTTCCTTCTGTTTCCTTTGGGGCATTCAAGATGTCACAGGTGATGGACTAAAGCATTGGTTTGTCCAAAACACAGCAGAAATGCCGTGACCAAGGGAACGCAAGAAAGCTACATAGCTGTCTTCAGGTGCTGGGGAAGGTGTTAGGTAGGTGCCAGCCCCTTTTAAGAGAGGGGTGAGAAATATTCCAGAAACTTGGGATAGGAAGCAATTGAGAGAAGTGAAATGGTAAGACTGAACACCAGGGGTCCCGCTGCCTCGTTTCAGCGAGGAGAAAAGGGAGGCCTGGTGGTCCTTCAAGCTCTCCTGCCCCCAGGTGACAGATGAGCAGAGCCACTTTCCAAAGGACCCCAGGAAAGTACTGGGAGCAAAAGGGGAGAGGCTGTTGAGAAGGCTGTCCTCTGTCCCCAAGATCTAGACTGTGCCTCCTTCCCCAAGTTCCACTGTCCTATAAATGACCCCCGGTTTTAACATTTCTCAAATGTCACACACCAATCTCCCGTGACAGTGGCCTCTGTAGAAACTTGCTACCATGAAGGTGTTTCCGGTCCTAGTTACAGGAACCAGCTGATGACTCACAAATACAACAGGTGAGTCTCACCTCATTTGTTCCTCTTCTCCTGGGGAAGAGGCGATGGGCTTGAACCCAGGCCTGCACACGTGCTGGGAGAGAGCCCCACCCCTGAGCCACGGCCCAGCCCTCCTGTCCTTCCCGATGTCTCCCTTCTGCAGCTTGATGGACCAGAATCTCCAGGCTGTTCCCCCACTCAAGGCCACATTCCCAGACAGTTTTTTGGAAAAGATAAGTGATTGCCAGGGGCTGGGGCAGGGGAGGGGGCGGAGATGAGAGGGCTGAATAGATAAAGCACAAGGGAGTTTTAGGGAGGAAATTTTCCCCATATAATAATCAGGGGAAACTGGCTGCGGGCTATGTGGGTACTCTGTACTATCTTCCTGATTTTTCTGCAGATCTAAAACTACTAAAAGTTGACTTTAAAATGTGCTAGTTCACAAACCACATCAAAATGGAAATTGTAAATCATGTAAGGAAGGTGGTGCTCAGCAGGTGCTGTAGTGCACGTTTGTAATATAAGCAATTCAGGAGGCTGCGGCAGGCGGATCACAAGTTTGAGGCTGGCCTCAGCGACTTAGTAAGGCCCTAAGGAACTTAGATCCTGTCTCAGAAACCAAAAAAGATTAGGGATGTGGCTCAGTGGTTAAGCATCCCTGGGTTCAATTCCCAGTACCAAAAAATAATTATAATAAAAAAGGTGGTGCTCAGTTCTTGATAGAAAGTGCCAGAACTAAAGGGCTGCCTGGGTCCTAGTTTGAATCTGCCTGAATGCAGAGCCTGAGTCGGGACCCAGGCGAGCGGCTTATTTTATTTAAGTAGAAATCCTAGGATGCAGGAGGGCGGAGGCCTTTGAGAGACACAGACAGGGGATGGGGTGAGAATCTGAGGTCAGGGCTGGAGGCCGAGGGAACTTGGTCCCTCTTCTACTAAGAAGCAGAAAGCCTTGCTGAACTGTCTCCCCACAGACCCCCGGATCCTGGCCCCCACTGCCAAGGGAAGTCAACAGCCCTGCTCTTCTGGGCTCTTCTTGCACAAGAGCTGAGCCAGCATGTGGCTGAGGCTGGGTGACGTCGTTCCCAACTCGCAGGGAGCATGATGGTATTGCATACACTTGAGAGAACTTTCTTAGACATGTTCAGGCATAGGCTTTTGTCATCCGTCCCCCTCATGCATACATAACAGGAATCGAAATAGGAATGTCCTGCTGAGTCCAGCTCTGATGCTTTTCCTGCTAGTTTTCCTGCTGGCGCTTCCTTGATCCTGCCGGAAGGTGGCGCACAATGGCAACTTGATCTCGATTGCAGCTGCCCCAAGGCACCGTCAGCTCCACTCTGACCTGGAGGAATGTGAGCCCCGAGTAGGTGCCCTCAGAATGGAGGAGACCACGTAGTTTTCTCTCAGTGGAGGAAGACGTGTCTGGTTCTTTCATCTTGACCGCTGTAGCTTTTATTTTGGAAGCAGTTCATGAACTCTCTGAGAATGCTTACTGTTACTTAAGATTCTGGAAATACCAACTTCCTAAGAAGAAAAAGGCCACCACTATTCCTTGAATACATGTTCAAGTGAATAAAACGTTTAAAGAGAAATAAACTTCGGTATCGGTGCTTCCTTTGGGTATGTCACTTTTTCTGAGATGATGATTTATAAAAACATTTATGTTTATTGTAAGTTGTACTTAGTAAAGAGTTGGATAATTAACAAGCCAATCTTTTGCCTTACAGTGTTACAGAAAAGCATAAAAGACCTACAACTGCTTTTCTTTCTGGGATTTGAGATACTAAGATGAAACTAACACATGCACACACTCTGTCTTACACACACACACACACACACACACACACACAAAACTATTTGACTGCAGTTAACTAGTCCAAGTCAAGGTACATCTGTCAGGTCCAGGTCATCTCTCATACTGATTCTGATTTGTTTACCAATCCTACTGGGAACACAGGATGGGAAGTCCACCACTTGGCACTTGGCACTTATATTTCTTAATAGCAGGTCTATTTTCTTTCTTTTTCTTTTCTTTTCTTTTCTTTTTTTTTTTTTGTAACAGGGATTGAAGACAAGGTTCTTAACCACTGAGCCACATCCCCAGCCCTTTTTATTTTGAGACAGGGTCTCACCAAGTTGCTTACATCCTCGATAAATTGCTGAGGCTGGCCTTGAACTTGCAATCCTCCTGCCTCAGCCTCCTGAGCTGCTGGGATTATAGGACTGTGCCACCCTGTGCCAGGCAATAGTTTTATTTCTTAGTAGAAATTGTTGTTCTAGTTCCCAAACTACACCCTGAGTGCCCAGGCCCCTGCTGCAAGTTCCCAGGAACCAGACATTCTAAGTTTTCAAGGGCAACCCTGTGATATTGCCATTGACCCCTGTAGCTCCACATAGTTCCCAGTTTCAACATTTGCTGGGACTTGATTCTTTTTGATGATGTCACATCTTTCTAAAGCTGGGTTTTGGGTGGCCACTGTGACCAAAGAAAGGACAGTGTGAAAATCATCATGGAGCAGGTAATGGGGCCATGGTATCTGACCCAGTTCCAGGGTTGAAGGTATTGTGTGGTGGCCAGCAGACACTTGGTACATCGTGAGCAAGGACGTTATTTTTCTTTTAATTTTCATCTATATTTTTTTGAAACAACTCAAAAATGTTAAGATATGAGAGCTTAGTAAGCTGTTTGACAATAACTACTTAATAAACTATCAGGGGTTTGTTTGTTTGTTTGTCTGGCTTGGGAGCCCCGTGGAAAAACTATTGAGCCACAAACCAATGGAAGTTTAGGGACCTCGAAGTATGTATTGGCACCATAATTTATAACTCAACCTGAAACTGCGTTGGTCGGCACAAATCCATCTCTGAGACTTGATTACCTCTGCATTAATCAAGGATATTGTTGAAAATGTCAGGCTGAGAACTAGTCCCTGAAACCCAGGATGACCCCAAATTACCTCCAGAGGACCAACCTTCCTGAAGCAATGGCTTCATCTCTGTCTCTTTCATCACGCGCAGCAGAGCTTGGGAGACTCACGGTGAGTCTCGTTCGCCAGGTGCGGAGGTGCACACCTGTAATCCCAGGGGCTTGAGAGGCTGAGGTGGGAGGATTGCAAGTTCAGCCTCAGCAATTTAGCAAGGCCCTGAGCAACTTAATGAGACCCTGTCTCAAAATAAAAAGGGCTGGGGATGTTGCTCTGTGGTTAAGAACCCCGTTCGGCTTCAATCCCTGGTAGCCGCCCCCACCAAAAAAAGTGGTCTTACTCTCCTGAGCCTCAGTTTCCTCCTTTGCGAAAAGAATCCATTGCATTCAAATGTTGTGAGGATTAAATAAACTAAGACTTATAAACTACTTAGGTGGGTTTGTTGGTGTTCTTTTTTTTCTTTGCTGTTGCGATAATAGTAACCACTTGCGATTTGAGATTCATTGCTTGCTCTAGTACTTATGATTTTTCAACTGTGTCTTGCACAACACAGAAACTCTTCCAGTTTTTCAGTACAAATTGGGGGAGAATCTT